CTAGAGACGTTCATTTATGTTCCTGTTCCTAGCAATATTACTTTTAAACGTTGGCTTTATTAGCATCAGTAAACAGGGGTCGCGTCGCGGGGTAAATGAAATACAGGGAAAACCTAAACGTATCAGGGGTGAAAATACCATCAGCGTGACATTTACAGGGGGGAAAGGTTACCCGACGATGGAAAACGTTAGGCGCAGTCAATTGTTGAGAAACCATAAAGGAAACCAATGTAAAACAAAAACAGTGACATAGTAAAGTTCCCGAGGAAGTTTCTACATAGTAATTTAATTACATTCGTGACCGGACGTTCAAATCCTTTAGAGTAAGCAGGTGAATGCTCTGCTTAATTAGATTTCAAATTTCTCCATGAATCGTAAAGTCCATTTGTCTGAGAACGTCAATTAGGCCAAGAATAGTATTAATTGCTGTACAATATAAATTATTTGAAGGGACTTATTTGTGTTCGTGCATAACAATGTTCTCGAGCACAGTACTGTGCTGATTGAATGACAACCAAGTACCTGTCGTGATAATTAAGAACGTGTAGTCTTCGTTCCAACTTTCCCATTGATGTTATCTCTACGTTTCGCAATTCAGCATAATCTGTTTTGGGGTACAATCATGGGAACCACGTAGTAATACAGATTACGGATAGAGACTTCTAAAGCTCTATTAATTAATTCTTATTATTTACAAACTTACGTAAAATATGTATTATATATAATTCACGGATTAAAACAGAGCATCAGTCAATTTTTAAAAGTGTATGGTAGGAATACCTGCAAATTATACAAAATATGCTAACAGGGCAGCTTATATGCGGTTGAGTGCAAGTGGTGGCCGGGCGAGGACGGCATTCCTCGCAATCCAGGCGGATGGACAACGAGTCTCGTGCCTAACAATGGCTTACATTCCCCGAATCCCATTATCAGTTCGTTATATTGAATGGTTATTTGCCCACATTATACAGACACACACTACGATATTACAATTTTCCTATCGACAATTTGTATTTAAAGAGTCAGTACTTACTAAAGATTCATGTCCGATAAGATATTGTATCTGATAACGGCGTATGTTCGAAGTTGATTTAATTCCATTTTAATTCAATTCTGAGTAACAGACTTGTATTGTGAGCATTTGTGACTGTAAATCTAAGAATTCACTTAATATTGAACTGTAGATTCAGTTTTATCTTTTTAACAATGAAATGTAATAAACTGAAATCGTCATTATTGTTATGATACAAGTGATGTTAACCTTGGTTTGCCTTAAAGATCGCAGCAATAAGAGCAGGTTGACATTGATGCACCAGTATCTTGATCACAATAATGTACGATGAGTCACGAACTGAGCAAGGCGGGATGTTTCGTAGTGAACGCTGTGACGTACACTACACATAACGTATATCGTACAATTGTACGGCCACAAGCCTAACATCGACGAAATCTATATTCAAGGACAACAATACTAATTTGAGAAAAGCAGATTATTTTGGGAATGGTCACGCGATGCATGTCGGTATTTTGTTTGCATGTCAACTGCTAAAACTAAATCAGTTATCGGAAGCTTAATAACAACTTTCTAACGCATCTAGACGTTTATGTAACAAAGATTATAATCTTGATCGATTATGGTAATAACGAGATACCTATGATGCAAGCGGTTTTTTTATGTTTGGGTGTACAAAATGTAAGGCAACTCTCAATGTGACCTCGTTTATTCGGAGCCAATACGAGGTTTAGAATAGCGGGCGTTAAGATTCTTATCATTCTAATTTAAATAATATTATAATAGCAACTTGCAATAGTGGTCTACAAAAGTGAAGCACTTTCTCTGTTTTACGTTTCAAATGTCTTAAACTAGTTTCCTGCCTGAAAATTAACTTGACCATTTGTTTGGCTGAAAGTATATTAAGGCTGAAAGTTTGAAAATTTTCAGAATAAGTTTAGAATAAAGACTGTAAAAAACAAATAGACCTTCAGGTTCCTGAGTATTTTGTATAATAAGTAACGTGTATCTGTAATTCTGTATTACCTAATTTCACATATCTTCACAATCAATGAGTGAAATGTTTACCGAACAATGTGCGACCTGAATAACAGCAACACCGCAGTTACAGCAAGTGCTGCAATCTTCAACGATAAGAGCATGTCCGTTTAGCAAAATATGCTAGTGTTATGCCTGCTGGTGTTTTAATTTGTGATCGTTATTTTTAATCAACAGGCGCGTTCAATGACCCCGATTCGACGCAGTAGATCCGAAACGAACGCGGAATAGAACCATTAGATTACCAATCGCGAAGGAGTATCACTTAGTGCGAACTAAGCTTTAGTGTTTGCAAATTGTATGAGTGGCACGAACAAATTAGTCCAGCATGTCCAGAGCAGTTTGACAGTTGCCATACCGCAGAAGTAATCCTATTTTGTATAATAAACTTACATAACATGGATACTTTGAATTCGGACTTGTTGTTTGCACTTGTATAACAATAGCGTGTGAACAGCATGACCACATCTTTGTGTAGAAGTATCGCGAATTAGATCTCAGTTCGCCTTTCACTTCGTGTGAAGCGAGTTAAAGGGTATAAGGAACGCTAGGGCATTTTAGGTCATTAGTTCACGGCCGGACTGTGAAGTAGATTACCTACCTCAATTTTATGATAATAATATGTAGGTACTCCTGCCCTATTTGTATTGTTATACTTTTATTATTTTCGTATCTCTATAATACAAGTCTGAATTAAGATCATATTTTTACTTGAATATAAATGCCGAATGCCGAATGGTAACATAAACCTTTAAGTTTCAGCACAATAACAATACTTTAACTGAACACTTGATAGCATGATAGACAACCTGCTTATAATCTCATTTAGCAGATTGAATACCCATTACTATGATAAAGTTTCTTTGAATACTGCAATCAACGCGAGCGCAGGTGAGCCGTTATTTGCAATTGCAACATCAATAATCGTATAATAATGATGGGATTTCTAGGTTCACGATGAAAGCTGCTCACCAACATTAAGTCGAGGAAGGCGCCAACAGCGGTGCGGGGTCAACGACACTGCGTTATAAGAGCAACTGTCACTTTCAAAGGTCGACAGGCATGCAGGTCGACTTGTACAGATGATATACCTTATAGGGATTTAAATATTGATAGGATTATTACTATTAGTATTACTTATAACAATGATAACAATACCGCATTTTTTTTTATTTGAAACTAATATAAATTGTCATTTACATACTTTTAATTAAAATTGTTTAAAGTTAATGACAATTTTGATATGATATCAGTGTAAAATGTAGTCTAATTTGCTAAAAGCAAATACTTTACAAAGTAGCATTGCCGATTCACGCTATCCGGTTGTGAAGACAAGGGACCCAATAATTGGCAACACTAGACAGTTACATGCGGAAGGAAGTCTATATTTAAAAAATTATGGTTACTCAAACATCAAATTGAAACGATTAAATAATTGGCACGAGTGCATAAGCACTTGTGAGTTACTTATAATCAAAATTAACCTACATAACAATATTGAATAATGTAGGACCTTTCAAAGTCTGTCCATTTGGTTTTACTAAGTAAAGGATCATCCTGCTATCTATAGAGCAGGATGAATTCAAAATTGACAGATACGTTAGCATATTGCACAATGACGGAGTGGACGAAGCGAATTTTATTCGGACAAGCGCACTGATCAACTATCAAACACTGATTTCCTGAAAGCTAGGTGCTACAGTAACAAATAACCTAGAGATTATCGAAAATTTAAGCCCGATGAGCCCATAGTGACATGATCAGTGAACTACTGTTACAGAGCACGAAACTAAATTAATCTAGTAATCTTAAACGTATAGGTACTGGCCTTTCTATTTCTTTACATCTTTGACCAGTTGTGTTTTTTATTTGCCCCTCCGAAAACCTCATTTAACTTGTACGAGACAAGGACTGATCTCGGTAGATCTCGTGCTTGTCTGTGGCACATAAATTGTATTAGTTGCATACAAAAAACTGTAGAGAAATTGATTCATATTATCACGCTTTTGTAGATGTCAGTTATTGTAAGCATTTCTGTAAGATATGAAGTTTTGATAGCATATTGTAATTAATACCAAATTCAGAAAGTTTCTAGTAGAGTATTGGTAACATTGCGTTAGTAGCGACCTTGTTGCCGCCGCAACTATTTGCTTGACCGAATTCATTGAAACTCAATTCTGCTGGTCCAAAACGCAATCGTATATTCTGAAGACAATGCTCTGTCTACTATTGAGAATAAAGAACTGAATAATGAATTGATTTGAAAACTACCAAATAGATAATTATTACAAAAATTACATTGTAACATTTCTGGGTGTGCGTATTTACTGAACTGCAGTACAAATAGTGCAATAAAAAGACATATACAAGTGCAAGCTTTCTATTCCGGATTTCTAACCAATTTAATGTTGTATTCTGCGAGCAAATTGTTACCCATATGACCTCGGCGTGAACCGTAGAATTAATGTTGTTTCTATCTGATGAGAAGTTAGGCGCTGCGCAGGCAACTATGTCGCTGCTGCGTAAGTTATCGATATTCTACAAGAATCGTCTTATTTCTTTCCCCGAAAACTATCAACTTATTTTCAAAATGCTAATATTTTATATGAAAGTGTTAGTGTTTGCAACTGTGCAAGAACGTCATTGTTTTTTAGGTCATCATAAAAAATAACGATTACTATATACATTTGCATAAATACTGAATATAATTTTTGTAATTATACCAAAGTAATGTTCTATGAAAGTGGAAGAGTTTGTACAGAATAAACATTTCTTAAATACAGAACTCGAAATAACCATTCGAATTGACGAAAATAAGTTTCAACATTTTGAAACTCTGCTGACTATAAAACTTGATCTTTCCACTACTGGAGTCATAGAAAAGTATACAACTCGCGTGAAATGAGTTACACATAAACTGTAATATGACAATAATGTATGCATGACTTACAGCTCCTCTCGTTGCCGTTGTGACAACACCATTTTCATCGTGGTCGGGTGACGCTTGAGGCGGCGGGCCCGGTTGGTTCACTGCACTAGAGTCTCACTTATTCACGCGGGCGACGGCAGGAACGCCGTTGCCATTATAACACCTGTGTACAATCACAATAGTTTTGTTAACAAATAACTCATATGAGAAATAATTTTGAGAGTTTTATTAGAAATGTGTTCAATGTTATCTTTCCGATTGCTGGTCATAATGTTTAGTCTAAAATAAATATAATTTAAGTACCTTGTTTACTTTATCAAAAAGAGTCAAATGTAATTAATTTTCGCGCCTTTTTATTGAGAGCATTGACAAGATAGTTTGCCTTATTCCAAATTTAAATTTTTATGCCAATATGCAATACAGATAACACACAAAAGAGGTTGCATTACTGTTCCGAATTCCAATAAAATTGTAGCTATTATTATGATCATTTTTACAAAACTGATAATAATATGCAGATTACAGAAATGAAATAACAAGCTATAATACAATTTTGAAATAAATTAAGACATGAGGAAGACAGATTAAAGGTTACATTACATCACTGACAACATTAACATACTTGTGAGTCATCGAATTTAATCTCATGTATTAAGTATCTACATTTGGCACTAAGGCTGTTAAGTAAACAACCTAAAAAGGTTGTTTTATTTATTTAACCCTGACCAAAATTACACAGATGAAGAAAATAACCCATGCAAAACTAGTCATACTGTGTATGAGGATATAATCTATTTTTCTATAAAATGATAGTTGTTCACAAAAACTATTGGTTTAAAATTTTTTGGCACAATTTTTCAGAAGAATTTATACAAAATATTGAATTGTAATTCTTAATGATCTAAAATAAAACAAATAATATTTTAGAGAACACGAATAAAGTTTTAATATTCAATGCAGATATTTCAATATTTTCTAAATTAATATTCTGATAGCTGAAAGGCTGTTGACATTTGCATTAAAGTCAATGACCTAATGTATGCAATGCAAGACTATGTAATAGTAAATTCTAGTTTCATTATCGATTATGCAAGAATATCTAGATTTCACAGACAATACTTAACATTAAAACATATTAAACTGTCAAACACCAAGCGGTCACCGGTGACCGCAACCTATTGTTCAATAATTGTGTCTACAAAGACGGCACTCAACGAGTTAAAGAAGGAAATAACTATTGATTAAGACAGAAGTCCAGTATGACAAAAATGTAGCTTTTTTCTTTTATTAAAAACCTATAGTTCATTATTCACCTGAAAGCATTTGTTAGACAGCAAAAGTAGTCAATATTTAAAAATCAATATCAGAATAACTAGGTATTACCTAATAATCACTATGAGCAAACCTACTTACAAAAACCTTTGAAGTAGTTGTTTAGTTTTATTAGTTTGCAATATACACAACATAATTTTAATATCAAGTTTCAGTAATTGCTGTCATTAATCACAACAAGGAAATTAGCATAAATTAGCTTCAAACTGATAAAAATATGTCACAGGAGATACTAAATGTACCTATATTTCTTAATAATTTATTGGAAGTAGCATGAATGTTGTTATTAAAACATTAATTATAATTTTAATGTATAAACATGGTGTTATTTACTACAATTGTGCTGATAAAATCTCAAAGAAATGCTGCTTTCTAGGTAGTTTAATAAGTTTTAATGTCAAAATCTTACAAAGATGTATATACAATGTCATACATGTAGCTTTAGTTTTATACAACATAATGTCACATCTTTTTTCCTAAGCCTGGTGCACCCACTTTTCTAATTGTTGTGGTAATAGAAGGTAACTCTATTGTCATTTACCAGGCACAATTCCAAAACCCGTGCTGTTACTAACAATTTTCAAATATCTGAAAAATCTATAGTACTAACTTAAATTAAAAATTTCATTGGCTTCTTTTAAGTACATTTTAAAATGCTAAACTGTGAACATGTAATTTGAGGCTAATCAAAGTTAAGTATGGCTTCTATGTCAAGGGCATACCTACATTTGTTTTTGTAAGTTGCGTAAATGAAGCCATAATGTGGCATTTAATGAACTTTACCAAGGTATTTTATTATTGCTTACTGAACAGTTTACATAGTGTCTCCATGTGAACCTTGCTCACCTTCAAGGTTTAAGGAAGTCAGATTTTTTTAACTTATCTATTAATTTGAAGATATTTGTTTTGACCTATGTCTAAATATTAAAACTCATGGCTTAAAATGTGACAAAAAGTAAGCTGTATTTTTTAAATTTCTAGTCTTACAAAGTAAATTAATGGAAATAATAAAGGAAATTAATATTAATATTTTTATAGAAACAAGGAAACTGTCTATGTTTTAAAGGCAGTAATTTATATATTGCTACCCAGCCAGTAAACAGTACCGTTTACCTATTCACCAACCTTCAGACCATCCCAATATTACACTACAAAACTAGTGAAATTATTTTTCAGGATTTTGAAGATTTATGTAATTTTGCAGCATTGTTGTTTTTTGTTTAGCATGTAAAATACCAAAGTTTTTAGGGATTAGATGAGATATCGTAGCTTTTATAAAGAGAACCAATGTACGTATTTACAACGAAAATGAATAAAAAAAGCATAGAACGAGAATGCAGTAAAATGACTCAGAAATTAAACGTCAAAACCAACAGGGTTACTGTCATTTTGCCACATCAACGAAATTCACAAAACCTGAGAAATGTTCATGTCCAGTCTTCAGTTAAAGTGTGAATTTTGTAATCAGTGCGATTATTGCATATTGAAGAATAAATATTACATGAATAACATAAAAGAACGGCCATATTGAACGTCTGCATCGGACAAACTCTACGCAGATATTTTTGTCAAGTTTTCGTTACAGTCTACGAATATAACTGAGAACTAAATCAAATTATACTTACGGAACACAAAAACACTTAAAATTTCACTTTTAATTGAAATAAATATCACGCACTCTACAATCACACTTCACACAAGACCCAAGGCAGAAAACCGTTTTCGTTGCAATGGCTCAAACTCACCCACCAATCCAATACAACATGAAGTTTCGATTTTCTTTCTGTAGACATTTAATGAAAGTACAGCGCCATCTGTATTATGTCTTAAAAGACTTTTTTAGACAGAGATAAGAAATACAGATTTATTAGTGAAAAAGTGAGAAAGATAACCAATATTCAGCATTACCAACGCAAAAATAGCAATTACTTTGTTCTTTTTTTAACAACGGCAATTTCTTAAGTTTTAGAATTTTATATATTTTCAATACCAATGAAAAATTCTCACGGAAAATGATGAACACCTTGAATATTAAATTATTTTGCAGCGTTTTGCTATAAATATTATTGTTAAATAATAATAATAAAGTTACAAAACCGAACAATGATTAGTGCAATCGATTAAACATTTACATCTCAAGCTCGCGACTGAGGCATTCATGGTCAATTCATTCCTGGTCCTCGGTGTACGCTTATTTTGTTATTAACTGCTGTTGACTGCACTCATACATAATCAGAAAGGTAAACTAACGTTTTTTTCCTTTAGTTCTCATTAATCATCAGACATAACATAGCTAAACTAAAAGTAAAATTAATGTAGTGGAAGCAGTGGAAGGAACAAGGACTAGATAAGGAAAATATTTTACGTTATAATTATTGATAATTATTCAGTTCAGTTATGTTTAGTAAATTACTTTTTTTTGTAATCATGTGGATAATATTGAAAAATTTCGCGTCAGACAGTACACAACTCATGAACTCAAAATTTAGTCGATTTTCAACTTTTAGTCAACCACCAGACACCTCTAATTCAACAAAACAAATGTCCGAATCGTGCGCCCATTTCGTAAGTTCCTCAAATGATAATTTTGATTGACGCCCTGAAAATAATATATTTCTACAATACTGAGCCACGCGTAAACTCTTTTTACTATACAAAAATAAATATTAGCTATAAATTTTTGATAAACCTCTTCCAGATTTAAATTTTTTATACATCGTTCGTTGATACCTACGTCGACGAAAGGAATCAAGTTTCATAAATAATGGTGTTTGCATAATTGTCTCGAAATTTAGAATATCTAATCAACTACAACATTTTGACTCCAGTTAATTCAAAAGAGTGTTCGACCTCCAAAATGGCAGTGATCAGTGCTCACCTTTCACCTTGCAGCTAGTGAATAGATTTAGGTTCCGATCATCGATGTGTAACTCGTTAAATAACGTACGGGGCACGAATGCTGACTCTGAGGAGCAGTGTGTGCGATGGTGATAGCAAAGAGCAAGAAAGTGAAACCAAACATGAGTAATACTATTAAAAATATGGACTATAACTGGACACCTGGTCCAGAGCCACAGAACAACCAGGATGGCGGTGTGCCCAGGGCAATCTTCGTTCCTCACTCGAACTCGTTGCCTTTTGAAGAACGTCGTGTCACGTTGGAGCAGCCAGTCAAGGTAATGTTCCCATTGAATTGTATTAAATTGTAATAGCAGAATGTCACTTGTTGTAGGCAAGGAATTGTGTTTGAAGCATCAAAGTTAATGGGCCAAGAACATGCCATTGAGAATGTGCTATGTAATGTGTTAATTTTGTACTGTCCAGTAATTAGAGTACCTATGTCAATTGTTGAGACTTGGCAGTGTCTTATAGTACTTAGATAAAAAGAACAGAGCAGTGTAATTATGTAGTATTATGTGGTAGAGGTAACTACAAACATTGAAACTATTTACTTAGCCTATTTACCTTGATATAAATTCATATCATATTGTAATATTCCTACATGCTATCTAATAGGATTGCTATTGAATAATTTTATGGCCTTTTTGCCTTTATTAGACATTCTTAGTGTTTTACTGACACTTTACAACTGCATATTTGATAGTATTGTCTAGTAGGTCTTGGCATAGCTTACTGAAATAAAAAATAAATAAGGTGGTTACTAGGTTCTTATTGGACTGTAATAACAAGTTCTCCAAACAAGGGAACTAAGCGAATTTCAGTAAATTGGAAGCTAACTGTGTTATATTCCCCTTATATTCTCATCTGATGTCTGTTAATTGCAATTACGAATGATACTGTTGCAATACATGAAATTAAAATATTATTCATAATCTGTAAAAGTTGTTTATTTCCTTGAATAGTAAGTCAGGGTACTACAGCATGAGTAACTATTGGTCTACATTTCAATGAAGATTTCTTTCCTTCTATGTCATTTTCTTTGGGCAGAAAAAAAAACATTTTTGAATGTTAACTTATATTCCAACTAAGATTCAAAAATTTTAAAATATCAGGTAATTATCCCATAAATTCCCAAGCGGTCACTTTTGTATGACCAAATTTAGGGGATGGATATCAACGGGTTATAATAATTTTGATTTGATAATTGCATTCACATTGAACAAATTAATTTAGCTATATTAACTCGTCGAGTACCGTCATTATAGACACAATTATAGAACAATAGGTTGCGGTCACCGGTGACCACTTGGTGTTTGACAGTTTAATAATTATGTATTGTCTAAACAAAAAAATCTTCAGTTCAATTGCTATAATTTTTTTAAATCTCTTTACATGCTACTAACAAAAGAATTCCGACTAATCTTAATCTGTTGCTCAACAAGACTCCTAGATAAGAACTTAATCTAGATGTCATTGATATAATTTTTCAATTTATCTCAGTTTTTGTCATCTTATGTTCTTTAACTAAAGATATTTACAAGTTATCCTCTGACCATGAGTACATTTTGAAACTTACTATTTTTCTCCTATTCCATAAACTTCTCAATTAGTGTAATTTATTTTTTTGTCTAAGTCGAGAGTCTAAGACTTTATTTCAATAGAATAGAATCTCTTTTTAAATAAACTTTAAAATAATAAAAAGTTATTGTTCCTCATTTAAGATATTGGCTTATTGATTTTTTGATATATCATACCAACAAATCATTCAACAATCAGTAGTCTCTAAACATTGGAAATAAGGTGTATAATGGAGTTAGTGGAGAGCGGTCACTGGAGACCGCTTGTGGATTGAGCAGTTAGCAGTTCCTATTGAGAAGACTCAGCAAGAAACTTTATGGCACAGATACTACAGGACTGAGTTTTTTTTTAAACGTTGCCACACACTACGATTTTCTCCTGTGTCGTGAATGCATTTACAAACAACAAGTTCACATACATATGACACCCAGACCCGGAACAACAATCTGGGGATCACACAAAGAGTTGCTCCGTGCGGGAATCAAACCCGCGACGCGCGCGGCACCCTGATGCCCAACCACCGCGCCAACCATGCAGTCAATTGACCATTGTACATTATTTAATACCCAGTTTAATTTCTGTTGTTATTAATCCTCTATGTTGAATATTTATATGGCCAGTTACCAGTCATAGAGAGTTGATGTCAAAATTATATATCCAGTAGCCAAATCTTTCAATGTTTAGTTTACTGTGAATAGCGGATAACTGCTTGTATTTAAAGAATAGACTTTGTTTTATTTAAATATAGGCATAATGATGAACGTCTATTGCCATTTTGAAAAGCACTAAAATGTAAAGAAAATATCACAAAAATACAATAATTCTTTGTTGACACAGTTGTTAGGTAAGAAATAGTAGCTTTTGTAGAATCAAAACAAACAAGTATTTGTTTGTTTCACTAATAGCTAGGGTTGCAATAGCAATATTATTTTTCAGATGACAGTTAGGATTGTAATGTATTTAAAGGTCTATAATAATAATTGTCTAAAAAAAATTCTATAGTGTCTGAAAATAGTAATACTAAATGTAAAAATAAATAAACACAAACTATTATCATTACTATATTATGTTGACCACATCAATGAGTATCTACTTGTTAAAAACATTTTTGTTATTTACGAATAGTTGCTATAGTTTAGACAATTTATTCCGAACAGTTGTCGTATTATCAATAATTGACGTGGCAGTCTTGATTCAGGATAATAACACGTTATTTTCATTTGATAATATTTAACATTTTCATAATAATGCAACATTTTCATAATGACGAAATCATTAATTGCAGACTATTGTAAACCCAATTTTCGCGATTTAATTTGGTATTTGGGTTCACAAATATACGAACTGGTCTTTTTACTGTGATTAAAAGAACAGTTCGTTAAAATGACGATTTATTTAAAATATACTATCCCGAAGTTATAAGGCAAAGCCATTCCAGGTGTAGGTACTTGTGACGAACAACAAACATGAGTATCTGACTATTATTGACTTAAACTACTGACAATGAATGGAATGTACCGAGTACAATCTAGTCTCGCAAGGAGAAAGAAGGAAGAGAGCTATTTAAAAGGAAATACTTCAATAGAATAGGAACAAAGACATTTTTGTTATAGATAAACGTATTCTTCACATGCGTATTTTATAGATCACTATTAATAAGCAAGTCCGTTTAGTAGCCTTTGTTCAGATCAACTCATTATTAAAATTGAACGCAATTGTAAATCTCGTCACACTCAAATCATTGCATTTATCCATAATTTAGTTTGTATTCAATCCAGGCGTTCGGTTGTCTGTCAGGGTAGATGCGCTCGAACACAGGCGTGCGCGCCTGACTCAGCTTGACCCGAGGTGCTTGAGACGACCACAATTGTGCATTGGCAATTAAATTTAATGAGATTAAATTGTGCTATTTCTGAGTACGCATCTGCTAGTACGCCAGTAAGGAAGTCGATACTTATCGGCCTCATGTTATTGTAGAGGAAGCTTTTGTCCCAAGTTTCGCTATTATTAAAACAATTAACAATAACTAGCTCGTGTATCATGTGACTCATTGTGTTTTTTATTTGCGTTTTATCTACCAATAAAATTGATTCATATTGCAATGATTGCGAGGTCGTAAGTTAAAGCTCGGATGATAGCGGAGAGGAAACTTACAATACTTTCAAGTAAACAATGAAGGTTCACACTAAAGTATAACATAGATAAAGTTGCACGAGAGTTTGGCAAGGGAATCTCTCGACGATTGCAAAATTATGGTAATAAGATGAGCTGAAAGATGCCGCTTATGGCTCCTGTAGCACTCAA